ATATTATTTTTCTTTCCAAGTTTGGAATTCCACCAATTACTGTTACTATATCTAAAAGTCCCTATCAAAATATTTTAGTATTGATTCAATTATTTTCTCCCCTTGAAATTAAATTGAGTTTTTAACTGTTCTGTTTTATTGACAGAATATCCAGTTCCAGTTCCGAAGCCAATGGGTAATGCACCTCACCAGATAGCATATAATCCATTCAGCCTAGGTTTTGCTCTTCTGGGAATCTTTTGTCATCTGTATAAAAAAGACATTATCAAGACTGACAATAAAGAAACAGTTTATGGCTAAATATAACTCAGCATGAGTTTAATTCTCTATTAAATCTTCTATACTCTTATCTAGTATCTAAACTTAATGTCTGTTTTTAATTCAAAAGATGTACTGTAGTATAGAAAGCAGATGGGTAAGCAGTAGAATAAAGTCTTAAGGTTATTTTTTTAAATTACAATTATATATGTACCAAAAGAGTCTCATTCTCTAATTTCCTAATGAGAATGGATTATCAGTTTAGTTTCAGTAGATGTAAGGAATAAAACATATTTAAGATATTAGACAGTTTCCTTACATGCCAATAATTTCCTTTAAGAATACCATCAACATCATTCAGAAACAAAATGTTATTGAGGAAAGTTTCAAACAGCATGTAATTTTACACATTATGGTCATATCAATGCTTGTGGAATAAGTCAATGAATTAAACTCAAAAAGGAAAATCAACTAAATTTTGAAGTTTGAAAGGTAAATGCATGTTCTGAAAACTAAAATCATACTCTTAGGAAATTTTATTTTAAAATGTGCCCTTATAAAATAACAGGATGCAAATACCTTTTTAAAGCTAAACAAAATTGGGCTGGCCCTGTGGCTCACTCAGGAGAGTACAGCGCTGGTAGCACCCAGGCCGTGGGTTCGGATCCTATATAGGAATGGCCAGTGCACCGCTCACTGGCTGAGTTGTGGTGCAGACCACACCGTGCCAAGGGTTGTGATCCCCTTACCAGTCCAAAAAAAAAATACCTAGACAAAATTGCCTCTAGTATAGGTAACACTTCTCTACAAATCAAAGAATTTTTCAATTCTGGCATTTTTTGTCTGAAGACAAAAATAAAGAAAAAAGCATTATTCAACAAATTCAGTTTTTAAAACTATTAATACTGAATTATTGACTCCTGTGGACTAAATTATCTGCATCTTTTTTTTTCTCAACTAAGGCAACCATCAGCTTTCCTAAACTATATATATTAAAAACCATTTCTAAATGTATTTCAGGACTGAGGAATTTTTTGTATATATTGCCAAGTATCTAGGATATTCCACATAGCTGGGTGATGGATATCATTAAAAAAAAATTAGCCAAGTGGTTTTATATCTCAAATCTATTTACATTAATCAGGGTTCTCTAGAGAAACACAACTAATAAGTAGGGAGAGGGAGATTTTAAGTAATGGGCTTACAGGATTGTGTGGGCTAATAAGTCAAAATTTGTAGAACAAGCTGACAGGATGGACTCAAGAAAGTTGATGTTGTAGTCTTGAGTCCAAATCCTGGAAACTCAGGCAGAATTTCTATGTTGTAGTCTGAAGGCAGAAAATTCAATTTTTACTCTTAAGGCCTTCAGCCGATTGGATGAGGCCCACCCACACTGTGGTGTAATCCTGCCGACTATGCCAATTGTAGAGCTAGGGCTGGGTCTGGAGCTCACAGACCCTTTGAGCCCATTCACAAACCCTTCACACACAGGTCTGTGAGCTAGGTAACCAACAAAAAGTTCCTTGGAGCTTTGGCTGAAGTAGGAATAGTCTTTATTCAGCACACACAACACTCTAAGCTAGGCAGTACAAAGAAAAACTCAGAAACTCAACTGCTACTAGCAAGGTCCAAAGTAAAACTGAAAACTAAGCAGTTGCCAGCAGAGTAAACATGCTCTGTTTTTAGATGTGAGCTCTCTGCCAGCCAGCCTGCTTCACAAACTGCAGAACACACAATAGCAATTAACTAGAGAGATACATGGGTGGACATGTGCACTAACTCCACCCACACGCAACTTGTTTACAAGAAATGTCAAGGGAGCCTGACCAAAGTATTCTATTTTCCCCACACACATTAAGAAGGGTAACCTGTTTTACTTAAAGTCAACTGATTATGAATTTTAGTCACATACAAAAAATACTTTTGCAGCAACCTCTAGACTAGTGTTTGACCAAACAACTGGTTATTATAGTCTAGGCACATTGACTCATAAAATTAACCATCACACTGCTATTTGGCATCGTGTATATGGACTCACTATATTTTTAGTAATGTAAGATTTTGCTATTTGTTTAACTATTGCATTCTTAAAATTCATAATTAATTGCTTCCTAACTTGTGTTTCAAAATAGACTAATGGTAAATTGACACATATTTAGCATATATTTTTCTATTTATTGTACTCTTAATCATTATGTTGTCTTCGTGGATTTTTAATTAAACTTTTCATTAATAATAACGAAGTAATCACTTTAACTTCTTCAGTTTCATTATTCATCTAAAACCATATGTTTCCTTAAGTGAGATTAAGTGAAACTGAAATTCTATAGACCATATTTTTAAAAAAAAGAATTTTACAGAATTATATTGGCTGATTTTGAAAAAGTATTTGTCAAGGAGTATTAAATTAACACTGCTACAGGAACTTTTACGTAGTAGCACTTCCCAGAAAATGAAATCTCTATTTTTCAGGGATTTCTGTCCATGCTGAAG